TGAGTCCATTTACTGTGAAGACTGGTCTGAGGAATGCCAGGAGGTGTTCCAGCAGAGCATTTGTGTGCCAAAGATTTCCATCCCCACATGTAACCTCCATGAGAGCTGCAGAAGTTAACACTGCCAGGATAATCACTCATCTCCTTGCTGCTAGTTTCTTGGCATAGAGAACTCAGTGAATGGACAGCAATGCTAGTTTAATGTCTGATAGGACTTTCATTGTATTCTTTGATGGTAATAATCCTTTATGTTGGACTTCACACCTGTAGACCTGCAGAGCCTAGAACTGCAGGGACAAAAGGCAGAAACACCCCAAGTCACTGTAAGTGATGTTACCCCGCCCCTTCCTTCTTATACATGTTCCTGAGAAACATTATGTCGTTGACTTGGGATATATATTGCATCCTGGAAGACAACATCCTGTTTAATTGGAGTATTTTAACAAAACTGTCAAAAGATTTTTCTCTGTCAAAAGGTTGTTCCAGAATCTCAACAGTCTCTGGAAATTTGGGGAATATGACAAAACAAGTAGATCTTATTGTCATGTGCATAGTGCTGTCCTTCCTTTGTAGGACAGTGGGTCTCATGGTCTTTTATGAAATCTTTTGTTGGTGGATCAAATATTCAACAAGGCCAGCTCACCCTCAGAATACATGCCAATTTTTATAAAGATAATTAGTTGTCTCTTCTAGGGTGGAAGGAGCCCAATTCAATCAACAGTAGCCAAGTAGTTGGGTAGTCTCTTCATGGCAGGGTATCAGAGACTTATAGAATAAATCTTTAAATTATCACAGTGGTCATGTATCACCTTATATGTAGTATAAAAATATTTCAGCTATACATTTTCATTTTCCCCCCTTGGCCATTGTACTATTGTTATTATATATTTAACCTCTGTGCATGTTATAAACAACACACTACATCATGCATTATTCAGTGTAAGAAATAAATTATGTTTTCAAGAAATTTAAATAAAACAGTCTATATTTACCTATATAATTGCCATTTCACAAGTTTCCAATTCCAAACTGTCTTCAAATATCATTTTTGAGACTTAAGAACTTTCTTTACATCTCTTCTATAAGTATCCTAGGATGTGCTATTTTAATTACATACGTCTAAAAAAGTCTTCATTTTGCCTTCACTTTTGAAAGCATATACTTTTGGGCTATGAAGTCCAGGTTTAAAGTTCTAAAGGTTTTTCTGCCCTCTATCTCAATGCATTTAAAATATTTCTCCATTGTCTTTTTGCTTGCATTGTTTCTAGTGAGAAATCTGTTGCCATGCCTATGTTTCTTTGTGCATATCTTTTCTCACTATCTGCTTTACAATCTTTTTGTGGCTTTGTGACCCTTTCAGGCCTTCAAGATATTTAAGCAAAGATATAGTGGGTCCACTGCTGTGAAATTCCAGGTTTCCCTGCATTTTCCAACAGAGGCATATTCAACTATGCTGACAACACAGGAGCTAAAACTCCATATATCGTTTGCACTTAGGGGATCAAGACATGCCTGAACAGACTTCCCATTGCTGATGTGGTGCCTTGGCTACAGCCACAGTCAGAAAGGATAAGCCAGCACTTAGAAACAAAATATATACAGTAGTGATAATTCAATAACAGTTATACCAAAGAAAAGGTGACATGTTTATTTTGAAGATAATACATGGGTAACAGTATACAATAAAGGCAAGATGAAAGGTTCTGCCAGAACAGGGTCAGTTGTGGAGTATTATTGACAGCTAAGTTAGATAGAAATTAACAGGCAGTCAGAGAGGAAGTCAGCACAAAGACAGATAAAAATTGTGGCTGAAGGCGAATCTAAAGAGTGCCAGGCCTCGGTGGCTGGCTTGTACTCCTCCTTGGAGATAAACAGCAATTTGAGATTACAGTGAAATTAGCACCAGCTGGCTCAGTGAACCCCAATAAACATCAGACACATAAGTGAGTGACCAGAACATCTGGACCCATACTCTCTTCCTTTCTTAAATATAACTTTGTTGTTTCCATATACCCTTGCTATGTGACTAGTTTCCCCACTGAGTCAATATTATCTAAGCAGCTATACTTGGAATCCTATAAGTTGATTGTAGCTTGATCCACATTGCACCTGTATTGTGACTTTCCTGTATGAATTGCCCCTGGCAAAGGAGCTTCATGGCCACCCACTCAGGATCCTTCCTGGAAATACATGAGCTAGTCTTCTCTTTATTCCCAGAAAAACCTTCTCTTTTTCCCTGAAAAAAGACCTAACTAGAACATAATCAACCATGAAATCTAGAGGTCAAAAATGCCTGCCCCTATCATCTCACCTTACCTGCCTTTAAGAATGGCCACGAAGCAAGAGACTAGTGAGATACAGTCTTCTGGCCATCACCATGGTTACAGACCACTCCTTATTTTCTTGTTAGGTCTCATTTTCAGGGAAACATGGGTAACTTTCTCCTTTGATTAATGACTTTATTTCTCCATGTTGTGAGACCATGAACTTGGCATATTTGACCTCTGACAGGTCAGCAGTTATATATTTCTGGTATCAGTAGTGTGGTGGATTAAATAATGGTGAACTGGTAGCACCAAGCTGAACTGAATCAGCGTGGTCCTGGGTGTGGAAGAGCCACCTGAGTTTGTTGCCAACAGCATAAAAGGAGAACTAGAGGGGAAAATGGTGTGCTACTGATTCTCCTGCAGAAGCTTGTTCTGTCGGTTTTCCTGATATGAATTTAGCTATTCTCATTGTTGGAGGATCTTGAGTCTTCCCTGTTGCTGAGGACGGCTGCAGTTCTTTTCAGGGTAGCTCTGGTACTTACCTTGAACATCGCTTCCTGGATCCAGTGCAGATCCCTCAACCTGCTGGTATAGATTCATCATTCTGCTGGCACAGACGTTCTAGCTTCCACTACTGGCCTTTGGGCCATCCCAGGGCAGATCCTTGATACAGACTTGCATGAATTGGACTCATGCAGGACATTGCCATGGTATCCAGACCCTCAGCTAGACTCTCTGAGTCTCTAGTGTGTGGACAGGTCTCCTACACTCTTCTGCGTTTGACTTTTCAGGTAACTGTTATAAAACAATTCTATAAATTATGTGTTCTGTATTAAATCTATTCCACTGTAAACTCTGACTACAGCAAGGAGTATGTAGACTTGTGGCCCAGGATTGCATTCAATGCAAGCAGCATTCTATGGTTCCTCAGCATATTTGTTAAAACAATAACAAATTAAAAAATTTGTTCTCAATAAGTAAATAAGTTTAAAATATTTTAGAAAATTTTTCTCCTTATTGCTATTTTTTCTTATTGCTATTTTTAAGTAATTTGATTTTGATGGGCCTTATTCATACCTTCTTGTCCTTGCTTTTCTTTTTCTTCCTGAGTGTGTGTGTATGTGTGTGTATGCATGCCTGTGCACATGTGCTGCTTGAGGTTTGTTGAGCTTCTTGTATTTTTTGTTTTATAGATTCCATCAAGTTTGGAAAAGTTTGGCTCTTATTTGTTGAAATATTCTTTGTATATCTTCTTTACTCCTCCAGAGATTCAGTGTGCTATTGATTCCATTCATCTCAGACATTTGAGAAGCTCTGTGTCTTTATATCTTCCAGATCTCTACTTAGCATGGTTACTCTTTCCTTTGACTGTCTGTTAGGTCCTACCTCATGACCTTGTGCCTCAGTAAACACCATCCTTCATTCCTCGATGTCTCATGTCCTGACAAAGCACTGTTTCATATATTCTGAGGTTTCAGCTTTTTCAGATGGAAAAGAAATCTAATCCCTGTTACTCCATCTTGGCAGCAAGCTGAAATTCCATATAGGTTCTTTTAAACATCCCAACTTTCTTTCAAATGTGGGTTTTGGATACAGAATAACCCATTAAATTCCTGGGTCTCATGACAGATATTTATGATTACTCACAGCAAATAGCTATTTTCTCTTCTTCCTTGAGAGCAGATATTCAAATTTGTTTGGATCTAAATGTTTCAAGTGTCATGGAATATAATAATTTATTCTATCCATTAGAAAATAGAAGATGATTCTATTACTGTATCAATGTTTTGGTCAAGATGTGGACATGTGATTCAGTGTTCTGGAGAATATTTTCTCCCAGGTAAAACATGGAGCTGGAGATAGAGGAATAATTTTTCCCCCTGCCCCTAGTTATTCTGCTCTTGGAACATTTTGAGAGAGGATTTGATGCTTGGATCTATGTCAGCTGGTAAGCATCTGTGAGATAATGGTCTCGTATAATATCATCAAATGTGTACATAAAGACAGGACAATTATAGGCTGACCCCACGTTGAACCACAGAACAATCTTGGGCTCCCCTATCTTTAGAGTTCCTATGGCATGATATAACATACATTACCAATATTTGAGCCACTGCTCTTCAGATTTTTTGTGACTTATAGCGAAATACAGCAAATTGATGCCTACTTTTACTATGGCTCAACTTCTCAGGTTTTTTCTGATTGCTTTCTTCCAGATTAAGAAAGATTATGTTCTAAGTATAAAGGTTGCCATCACAGGAGGTGGAATCCCTATGGCAAACCACCTACTTCATAATTTTTCACAGAAGTTCTCTGTAGCCATGATCAAAGGCAAAGAGCCCTGTAGGCTGTGCTCCTTAATGTTAGAGTCATTTACAGACCTTGGTTATGCAAAAATTGTGCCGATAGTGAACCCTATGGCCATGTCCTCAGAAGGAGAATTGTACTGATTCTTGAGTGGAATACTAACTTCCAGTGACTGTGATCCACAGGGGGAAAGAAGCTCTAGTCAAAGCTACTTGAAATAATATATATTAATACAATTCCATCATAAATAATATATACTATTAATATGGCTTTAAATAATTTATAATGCTAGATTTGCATAATAAATAATACATAAATATGTAATCATCCCGTGAAGTCATGTGAAATTAGTAATCATGGAGGAGACTTAACCTATTCACATGCTCCGAGAGGAAAGACTTGCAAGTGACTCAAGGCCTTAATCAGAGCTGCCAGTAATTTCTCAGCTGAGAGGAACCCCAGCTTTGGATAAAGAATTTGATTTGTGTATCTTATGACTGCAGAGAAGTAGCTGGCAATAGACTTTTCAGTGCATAAGGAGATTCCATTGGTTTGTAACACTGCTTTTTTCTTTAAAAAAAATCTCTAATCTATCACTAATTGAAGATTATGTTTTCTAAAAATTAAGCAGTTTTAAATATTGCTGTTGACTCTTTCAAACCCTTCCATTTTCCTAGAGATTCATTTCTTTTAATTTATTTAATCTTCCTACTAGCAGCACATGGTATGCACAGTTATCCCAATTTCCCAGCTCAGGCAACAGTGAGTTGGAACAGCTAGGGGTTTACCCAAGGTCACAAAGCTAGTTTAATGTGGACAGGTATATACCTGTGTGTGCTCGGTTTTTTTAGACAAGGCCTCTTTGAACTGCCCAGACTGGCCTCAAACTTTCAATCCTCCTTGCTTAGCCTCCCACCAAATTGGAACTATAGGCATGCCAAACCATGCCTGGACCTGTCTCTCATTTTTAATCCAGCTCTTTTCTGTGGATTAAGATTTTGGATGCTTTAAATTCAAATTCAAGGAAACTTTGAAGAATCTCTTTGGTGTACTTGACACTACTGTCCATTTTACATAGGTGAGATCATTTGTCTTTCACAATAAACCTATTCAATATTTGCATCTTTATTTTACAAATTGGGGAATTGAGGCTCAGAAAAATGAAATGACTTGTCCATGATCTCAGAGCATGCGACAAAAGCGGGGTCCTGCAACTTTTGTTTCTCTGGTGAAGAGCGATGTTGTAGCAGACTGTCGGTCTTCTCCAAAGAGCAGATATAGCACCTTAATCTTCCTTCAGGTTCTGATCCCCACCCAGGGAGTCAAAAGGCTTTCTTTTCAATATGGTAGGAGAGACAAGGTTGTAGGAGCAGAGACTTTTGTCAAGAGACTTGGAGATACTCAGGGCAATCTTCTGCCTCTTAGATTTTCAAGGCCGGCACACAGAGGAGCTTCATATGTCTCAGTTCCCAAGCCCACTACAAGCTCTTTAACAAACACTCACATTCCTTTATCCCTCAGGCTCTGCTCTTCATAGAATATACAGTAGCTGGTTTAAAGTCTCAATTCCTCAGAGAGTAGCATTCTGGGAAACCATGCTTTGAGATCAGTCCATCTGGGAAAGACATAACCTGCTAAAGAGGTACAGAGAAAGGTTGAAACCATAAATGCCAGCTGACCCAGAAGAGTAAATATAAACCACTTGCATCTTTCATGCTGAACTATAGTTTTTCAAGCACACATTAAACCTTTAAGCTTTTTTTCTTAAGCAAGAATAAATCTAAGTTGACTACCCTAGCATACGTATTTGTTTTCCCTCCACTGTCTATAAACCGTGTCCAAGGTGAGTATTTATAAGCCTGAATGAAAACCAGACAAACAATTCTGAGAATAAGTGACAACTATAACAGTTCATGATAAGACAGTCACAACAAAGGAAACGCTATGCATTAAGTGATTTTTCCTGCAAATCCTTTATACATATGTCAAGCTGTGTGCTGGCAGAGTGAAAGAGAATAAATCAAAAAGAATACCCATATAAGAAAGGGTTTTAGGCAAATGCTGTCTTGTATGCATAAATCAAATAAATAGTCATTAAAAAACCCCAAAGGAGCAGCATAGATTTCTTTGGAATTTTACACAATGAAGTTATTTAGCAATTGTACAACAATTTGTATTGATAGAACGCTTTACAATTATTTGCTCATTAAATCTTATGACATTTCTGGCAAGTAGGTCCATACCATTAGTTAATTTTACAGCCAAGGTAACTGAAGCAGAGAATTTTTAAGTAAGTTTCCCAGAGTCTCACAGCTTAATGTGAGCTGGGCAAAGACTTCATTTTCAGAAAGTACTCTCACCCCAGTCTAAGTTACAGTTTCATGGTAGTGGAGTAAATGCTTATTAGTTCCCTCTTCAGACAGGGATTGCTCATGGGGCCATTTGGGGTCAAAGCCCCCCGATGGTAACTTTGGAAATGCTCGTGGTTGGTTGGTGCTATTTTTTAAGCTGGAATGAGACTTGTCCACATGTCAGTGCATGCCTGTAGGACACAAACACATCTCTGTAATAGAGTTTAGCTTGAGATGGCCATGATGGCAAATCCAAAACTATAGCTCTCAATACAGCCTGCAATTCCTGGGGGACTTTAAAATAAACTAAAGGTCCAGAGCCAATTCAATACAAATGTTTGAGACTGAGCTTGGACAAGGGTAGTATCCAAAAAAAAATACCCAGGTTTTTCTAACCAGTGTACAGGGTTGAAAACTGCTGGGGTAAAGATCCTTCTAGATTTGCAGGACATGGTTGGAAATGCTGTTCATTGCAGAAGAATGCCTAACTTGGAAGAGGCCAGTGAGCACTGAAATTTGGCCCAAACAACGTGCTCTCATTTAGGAGTGGCATCGGTTCTGAAAAGGTCATTTTTTGTCTGATTTCCACAAAGGAGGCCTGGGTTAATTCTGTTGGATGTGCACCTGTGCATATCCTATGAATTTTATTTTTTATGCATTTAAGTATATATATATAATCACTCACTGCATTCTGGACATGTGGTATACACTGGGTGTACAACTATAGAACAATCACATTTCTAGTCTTACTGGCTCTCCCTATCTGTTGAGGAAGAAGATGAGGAGTTCCAACAACATGGGAAGCACTCTGATAGGTATGAGTGACCTCATAGTGGAAGTGGCATAGACAATGAGACTGGAGGATACACTGGCAAGATGAAAGGAGATTGACACTCAAGCCTTCAGTGACAGCACGGAAGAAATCTGGAATTAAGATAGATCATAGATTATTGAGAACCGGCGGTGGTTCAGTCTGCCTACCTGGAAAATGGAAGAAATGAAGGTGGAGGGAGGGGCAGAGAACGTGGCATGTCCTGTCTCTCTCCCAAGGCCTAAGATGGCCATGTCCAACCTTGATCACTGTGCTCTGCTCCTCAGTTCTACCTCCTCTTCCATGTTACTGTTTTCTTTCCCTTCCTCTCCTCTTTCCAGATCCTATCCTCTATCAGAGCAGAAACCACATATACCACATATACCTGAGTTCCTGGAATATATAATTCTCAGCACTGGCTAACAACAAAAACCTTGGAAGCAGCAAAGGGACAAACAAGCACGGGGATACAGATGCCACCATTTTGCTTGATGCCACCTGGCGCAAGCTCCTAGTTGGCACAGATTGCTCACTACACTCCTTTCTTAATATGCTTCATTCAGATTCCACATTCAAAATTACCATCTCAGTCCCTGGATGGCGAGGTTATAAATGAAACAAAGCATGAGCTATGAAATTATTGAAGCCAGGTAATGAGGACATGTGTAGGTTTTACACTATTCTATTTCTTATTGTGTTTGGAATTTTCCATTATAAAAAGTTAAAGAACAAAAACAAGCCTGAGATCGTCTGCGACTTCTCATCTTCTTTCATTTTGCTTATCGTTGCCTATACAATGCTCTGTTTTGTCTTGTGTTTTGTTTTGTTTTGTTTTAAGTCAAATCGGTTTGACTCAGGTTCTTTTTTACTTCAAAATAGTATGCTTTGGTTTAAGTCATAGGACATTTTAATGAACTAAATTTCCTAATCCACTAGGATTTCAATGATAAAAAGTCATCTCATCCTCCTCCCCCAAAGCTTAGGAGACTGTTATACAATGTGCCTCTCCATCCCTTCCAGTCTGGCCCTCATGATTCTGACAGTCGGCTTTCCTTCCCTCCCCGCCCCCCCCCCCGACCGGGGGATGGCAACTCTGTGCACTCAATCGGCCCAGCTCTGTTATGGGTCTCCTGTGAAACCTGGGAATGTTTCTCCACTCGGAGTTGAAAGACTTACAGTATGAATGGGGAAAACGGAATGTAGCTTTTGAACAACTTCAGTTCTTGTGCCTCTACACTCCTCTTTCCCATTTCTACACATCAGCCTGGAGCAGCTGCAGAGCCCTTCAGTCCTCCCACTTACCAGAGCACTGAGTCTCACGCTTGTAAACTGAAATGGAATTTTACAGGCCTCCAAAGCAAGAAGCCCTTCACTTTGTTTTATAACGTCTATATGAAGCCACATCCAAGAGGCACAGTTTACATGTTTTCCAAGAAATGTGACCTCCTCTGGACAGTCACAGTAGCCCAAATATACATCTGTCAGTGGTATCGCATTCTGTTCTACGTGCTTATTTATCACATTCTTCCCCATAGATGGAGCTCCCCAAGAACAGAGGGAAGATAACACTTCCTAAGCCTCCAGTACCTCACATCCTATTTGACCCAAACTAGGTGATCCACGAGTGTTTGTTGAGTGAGTAAATGGCCTGATTATATTGAAATGCAAGCTTGATTCCTCGAACTTAAAAGGAAATGGTTTGGAAATACTGTAGTTAGATCCAAGCAGCAAACAGAGCTATGCTATCCCCACCGGTTTTGGCCTCTGCTCCCCACACCTGTGAGCTCCAGCTTGGCTCTCGGAGGTTGAGTCTGCCAGACAAGAATACAGTCACTGTGCCCCCCTCCCACCTCCTCCAAATCAGTCACTTTAACGAAAAAGAGAAAGAAAAATCAAACTTTCTATTTATGCTTTGGACAAGATCGAACAACCAGCTTATTGATGAAGCATTGCTGTTATCTCAACCAGTTTCAATAGCTTCCTGTGGCTACAATGAGAGCGTTTATGGCTCCTGTCTATTCACAAAGGCTAATTAATAGTCCTTCTGTGATGTTATCTTTAAGGGGCACAAGGGTGGGAAAAACTGTCTCTGCAACAAGACAACGGGAGAGTGTCTGCGCCACTCTCTCTGTGAGTTCTGTCCCCAGGACACACAGAAAGTGGATAAACACTCACAGCCTATCCAAGAGCAGTGCCCTGGCCCACACTGCTGTGCACCCTAGAGCAGAACAGACCCTGGGCAGCAGGCTCAGCTCGCGGCACTCCTGAGAAGTTACTAGATCACATAGTCACCCTGCTTTGCATTTGCTTCCTCTGCCATAATCGGTTCAACATGGCAGAACTGAGCATGTGCTAGCATCAAATGTGCATATTGTGATTCTTTTATGGTCTTCCAAGCCAGATCCTAAAACAATAATTTAATAAGCTTTGCCTTCATCCGTAACCTTTCATTTTCTTAATGTATCTGACAAGAGGAGGTGTGTCCCACAGCTGGAGCTGAGACTCCCCGCTTCTCATTTCTCTCCCCTGCCAGTTTTCATTGCCTGCTGACCTCCAGAGAATGAGCAACTCGTACCCTGGCCTTGCCGCTCCCTGGCTGTTCACTGGAGTTCATTTCCCTGCTGCAGAAACTCAGATTTGGAGAACCTAAGACTGTCTCTTACAGGATTGCTGGAATCCCCAAGGCACTTGCCAATAAAAATGCTTTGCTTGCCGATAAAAAGGCCTTTCACATGGGCAATATGCAGGAGGTACTCAGCAAACTAGCACATGGTACCCAGCAAACAAGAAGTGTCCCATCCTACGGCTGCTCTGGACTTCTGCTGATGTGCCTCCCATCTTTCCTCTGTCTCTAGCGTTGTCCTGGCTGCCCCTCAAGGCTGGACCTCATGTCTCTTCATTGTTTCATGGCACCTTCTCTCATTAGACACTCAATAAATGCTGCTGACAGACTGGCTGGCTGCCTGACTGATTGAGAGAGCATCTTTCTACCAAGGGCAATGTCCTTTACTGCCTTTATTTATTGCCTACTGTCAGGAGATGTCATCAGCATGGTATCTTTTTCCTGAAATGCATTCCAGGGTTAATGAGAAAGTTAAAGAATTCAAAATTATTGGAAGATATTAGCAATAATTAGTATTTTATCATTAGTAACAGGGCTTGAGTAATGTCTTACAGGTATAGACAGTAATGTCTCATTTTTGTCTAAATATGCTTAATTTTTATGTCATCATTCATATGCACATGAAGAAATTTTCACCTGCAGTAGCACCTCTTATTATAACTTCAAGAAACAAAAATTAAGTGTAAGGACCATTTTATGCTATTTAAAAAATGATAAGGGCTGGGGATGTAGCTCAGTGGTAGAGTGCTTGCCTAGTGTGCAAGGCCCTGAGTTCAAACCCCAGTACTACCAAAAAAAATAGTCATAAAAAATGATAAGAACAAACCAACAAAGTACTCCCCATTTTCATGTGAAGATCTCCTGTTTCAGCAAATTGTCAACAGGCCTTAGGATCAAAATAAGTCATCTCTGTCTCAAGCTACATTCATCACTATTCTTGCCTATATGATTTACAACAATATGGAGAAAACATATTTAAGTTCTCTCAGGTCCTCAGACAGCTTTTTCCTAGGTAAAATAATAAATAAACACATATCCCAAGAACACAGTCACTGTGTATATCCCAAGAATATAGCAAATCCAGTTGCACGAGGGTTACAAAATTGTAAAATGGTTCTGAATTTTAAAACAGCCCATCCATTTGCGTGTGACCCTTGCCTGCCATTCTTTTAAAATCTCCATGATTTCTTCCACGCACACTCCTACAGTGCTGTCAGATGAGTTATCACTGCCTTGCACTTTTGTTCTTTTGTTAATTTTGGATAAAGTCCTAGAGTGTAGCAGTATTGTTGAACTCATTTCTGCTTAGGTCTCAGGTTTCCACAGCTTCTCTATTATCAAGTGGCAGTGCACCCTATAGGCACAATAAATAAATAATACAACACTGAAGCTATAACAAATCACAAAAATACATTATTAAAAAATTAAGAAATAAATATCCCCCTCTTACTTAAATAGAGATTGATTTTATAATGTAAAATGCTGAGGAGAGCTGCTCTGAGATATATTAAGGCCTGGGGACACTCCGAATACACTGGAATGGACATTTTGCTCCCTCAGCCAGAGGGAAAAAATCCTTAGAGTGAATGAATGTATTTGTGAAATGGAAGCTGCTATTCTCTGTTTGTTCACAAGCCGGGTATGATGCACTGCTGGCTTCGCTGTGTGAAGGGAGAGAGACCTCCAGGACACATCTGTCTTTCCTAAGCACAAATTGTTAGTCTAGATGAAGGTGATGAAGACAAATGCTTCTCTGGAACCGGAGGTGGAGAAGCACTGTTTCTTTTCTTTAACTTTAAATCACAATTCCGGCTTCCAAAAAGATGTTCTCAAACCAGGATTCTGCCAAGCATTCTCCAAGGTGTTTTATTTAACAAGGAGAAGATATAGCATAGAATACCTCGCTCCACAAGGTACACATGTCAGGAGGGAAAATTAAATAGGATCTCCTCTCCAGAGATTCAGAGATTTTCTACGGAAAAGAAAAAAAGCCTTTAGTGTTCCAATGTTCTCAGGAAGTCAACCTTGTATTGTTTACATTGAGGTCTGTATGGGGGCCCATTGACTCACTCCATTCACACTGAAGAAGCAACCAAGGCCTCCATCCTGGAATTGTGTGGCATTTCTTGATCTTATTCCTGGATACTTTGGGATTGCACAAATCTTCCTGACTTCCCTGACCTCTGCAAAGGCAATAGCTTGGTATAAAAGAAAAAAACAATGGATAACAAGGGACCCAATCTTTTCTCTATTCCAAAATTATAGGAGAGCTTCATTCTGGTGACATATAGAAAGAACCACTTCATATCCTTTTCTTGTTGCTCTCGGTAAACAATAAAGTGGTAGATGCAACTGTCCTCCTAGTGGTGAGGGTATAAGCCAATCAAAGAGGATATTCCATGAAAGATCATGAAAAATGGTTTCTTACAATGAGTTACAATAGAGAATAAGACAGTAAAGGAGGAGACACTCTAACTCCAAAGACTCCTGGCATACCATTTGCCAAGAACTTGACTTGATTTCATGTTTGTTTGTTTGTTTGTTTGTTTTTATGACTGTATACCTTGACTGTATCCCCTAAAGAACATAAGGAAATATGGTCAAGAAACGTGGGAATAACTGAGCATTTGTTTTCCTTAATATTTCATGGACAGATGGTCTGACCTTCATCTGAAATTCTCAGCAGCATGCAGACATTCTAGAACCTGGGCTCCCAGGTATTCTACCATCTTCAACACATGGCTTTTGTGATCACCTTGGACCCTAACTTCTAGCTGGCAAACGGCAAAGAGAAAAGTAGAAGATGCAAGGGAGATGTTTTCTTTGCCATGCTCAGCATGGAGTATATCACTCCCACATTCCACTGGCCAGAAGTTGTTACATGGTCTTACCTGTACTCCAGCAGGGCCAGAGCATTCCATCCTCCCCAGCTGGACACCAGTGAGCTGGCTGTGAAGAAAGCAAAAGATATAGATAATACCAAAAGTCTCTTCCGGCCCAGATCCATCCCCACCCTCGTCCCTCACTGTCTCTCATCCTCCATCTGCTAGATGGATGTTGACACCCTCGGACCTTGAGGTTATTTGATGAAACAATAGGGTTTCTATCAGCCTCACTTCCTAATAAAACCCTTTCTCAGCTACCACTGTGTATATTATCTGAATGTATCAGTCTTCTGTTGTGTAAAATATTAAACTGTGGTTGAAAACAGCACACATTCATTATCTTACAGTTTCTTTGTTTCTTGCTTGAGGGTCTTTTGACAAGACTTAATCAAGGGTTTCTCTGAGCCTGTGTTTTCATCTCAATCCTTGCCAGGGGAAGAGTCTAATTCTAAACCTATTTATTCCTCTGGTTGTTGCAGGACCTGTTAGTCTTTGGGTCTCCTTATCTTGCTAAGGGTTGGCCATGGATTGCCCTTCATTGCCTGCTACATGGGCCTTTCCAGCTTGCTTCATCAGAGCAAGCACACATGAAAAACCAGACAAAATGCCAGCAAGATGGAAGTCACAGTAACACAATCGTGGAAGTGACATCCCATCATACCTACCATATGGTTTGCTTGAAGCAAGACACTTGATCCAATCCACATTCAAGGAGGAAAGAATAAATATATACCAGGATATGAAAACGAGGAGTCAACAACTTTAGGGAGCCACCTCAGACACAGACTACCAATGAGGGTAGGATATACACCTCTCTTTAATGAGGCCACTGAGATTGCAAGTGTGGACAACTGTAGAAGCTTGCATTGCCTGGGGTAAACCAGGGAAGAGCCCCAGAGAGGTCTAGTCAAGTGAGGTCAGAGCAAGCCAAGTCATACCATGCTTTATTTGCTCTGATCAGAAGCTGGCATTAATTCTAAGTGCAACAGGAAGCCATTAAGGGATTTAAGAGAGAAAGAAGGAATTTTATGATCATTCTTACTACTGGTCATCAATGCATTTTGAAAAAACAATAGTGGAAGTAGTCATGCTGCTGTGTTGGGGAGTAAAGAAAATAGAAGATAGATCAGTTGGTGTTATGTGCTGAATTGGCTGGACCACCATGATTAGTGATGTGATCACGTGTTATTACAGACATTTCTATGAGGGTGTCCAGCAATGAGATTAATATTTAAGTCAATAGATTTTGAGCAAAGCAGATTGCCTTTTAGAATGTAGGTGGGCCTTGTCCAATCAGTTGAAAACCTGAATAGAACAAAACACTGCTCTCTCTGAGCAAGACTGAATTATGTAGCAGACTGCTTTCAAACTGGAACTGCAACATAGGCTTGTCCCTGACTCTCCAGTCTGCTGGTCACCCTGCAGATTTTGGACTACCCACCCTCAAAAGTCATGAGCACTCCTATCAAAGCAACTCTCATTATCTTCTCCCACCACACAGCATATTCTCTTGACTCTGATTCTCTGGAGAAGCCTCACCAACACCAAGCAGAGCAGCAGTGGCTGTGAAGAACCTATACTGTGCTCCAGGCCCTCTACAAGATGTCCTGTATATGCCGCCTCCTCCAGGCAGCCCACTAATACTGATTTTTACACCCATTGTACAAAGGCAGAGCTCAGGATTCTGAGAACTAATTAAATTATCCAAGGTGACATGCAAAGCAAGTAGCACAAACGCCACGCCAATTTGTTAGGTGTTCATTTTTTTCCTCCCGAAGGATTGAAAGAACAACAGAAAAAAGAAAAGCAGCAGTTTTAAAAGCTCAAGTTTGGTGCTTCAAATCTGAAATTCCGTTTTGCTGATGGTCAAAACAAATTCATCACACTCAGTACATTTTCCTTACTATTAAAATAACATTTGCAATCTGTGAGGGGCCTTTCTTTTCGCTAACGCATGGCAATTATATCTTTACACTGCAACTGCAAATCTGGTTTTTAGTTTCCCCATCCGCATACTTTTACAGCCAATTGTTAACAGATTAACAGCTTTGGGTGAAATCCACTAGCCTGCTCTGGTTTGCCTTAGTGGCTGGGAGTCTGTTGACAAGAACAGAGCACAGAAGAGTGGGCTCTAACTTGAGCAGGCCAAATGGAGCTTTAGTTCCATTGATAAACATTTATTGTGCTTCTGCTGCATTCCAGACAGTATGCTGTGCATTCTGGACTCAGATTCATCAGCAGCAAGGAGTCTTTCTGAATCTTCTGGATTTCCAGAACATAAAAGAGATTGTGTCATGAGATAAGCATATCTAAATAGCAAAGTACTTTCAGAATACATTCTATTTCATGTGTCCAAATTATTTTTTATCTGTCTGTCTCTCTGCCTACCTGTCCATTAATCCATCTATCCATGTCTCTCAATAGTCACTCAGCAATGATCTCTGAGTCAGTGGCAGTATTTTGAAACAATCAACAAAATGGTACCACCTAAAAATCAATTCTTTATTAAACATTTGTTCTGCAATCTACAGCTACTGAGGAAGTCATTCAAGAGTTGCAGTCACTTGAAAAGTAGGAGTTATCACTTGCCAGGATTTAACCTTCTGCTCCACTCTACACTACAGCTTCTGGGAAAGAGGAACTCAGCAAAACACTCACACTTAGTTTTATCCCAAGTGGGAGGGATCGATGGAAAGAGTCCAGGTGTATAAATACACCAGGCATATATTCTTGTATTTAAATGGATTTTTAAAAGCATGATATATTGAAATAAGGAAGACACAAAGACACTACAGAAAAATGCAAAGTTAGAATCCTCTCCAAGCTTGTTAGACCTGCTATGATACAGGCAAGTCACTGTCATCACATACAAGATGGCATGAAAGAGTTAATTAACAAAAGCCTGAGAAGGCAGCAAACAGATCACGTTCAACTCCAGCTGCAGAAGCCAAGTGAGAGTGGAATATGTAGAAAAGACTCAGACTGGATTACAGGAAGCAACCACAGAGGAGGAACTGTTGGGTAATCCCAAGGGAGGCACGCAACTTTGTTTTTTGTCCATAAAATTCCTCATCCTGTTCCATGACCAGAGTTCTGTAGAAGGAAGTGTTCACAGACAGTGGCATTTTGGAGGAAGCATTTTGCCCAAGGCATCAGCAGCATACATTTGTCATCAGAAGGCAACACATGGAGAATAGTACCTCCAGCTTTTCAGTGCTGCGAAGAAGTGTGCAGTCACCAGAAGAACAGAAAAAGCTAGAAAGAGAAATGCAAATGATGAAGTCTGTCCACATAGCTCAGAAGAGAACTATTTATTCTAAGACAGAATTGCTGGAATTACAGACAGAAAACTTTGAACTGTTCAGGAAAGTACACCATACTTACTCCAAGAAAGTGGCCTTTAAAATGGGAGCCAGCGTGGATCAGCATCAGAGACAAGTGATACAGATCAGTAGGCAGAAATGAGTTCAAGGGCAGTGAAGAACCACAGTGGCAAAGCCCTGCTCTGTCTTTGGTAAGGAAGTTTGAGGGACAGACTAGCAATGGGGAGAAAGTCATGTTGTTTAGATTTTACAGGGTCAGCACGTGATCAGGCTCATAGTAGGAGGAGGAAATAGTCCAAATGAATGTGAATACACAGAAATAAGCAACAGTATGGTTCCTTCACTAGTGACTAGGGAAGAAAGATAATAATTACATTTACTGAATATTTTAACATTCACTCATTACCCCATATACCTAATACACCCATGAAATCAGCATAATTATGTCCATCCATTTTACAAATTTACAAGGAAGCTGAGTAACTTGCTAAAAGCAGGCTAGTCAGTCATTAAGCTAGAATCCAAACACACTTAGACTGTACTGCATACTACTTAAACTTACGATAAAAATATTTACACTTAAATAAATTGTATATACTGTGTTTAATAAATCCTACCTCAACATGACAACTTCTTCAGGCTTCCATCCCAGATTTCTTTCTTTTTGCAGTCAAGCTTCTTGAGAGAGCTTTCACAATCTGTTTCCTTATCTGCCCTTGGAGTTAACTTTCAACTCATCCCTCTGCCAAAGTTGCTCTTGCCTAGGTCAGTGAATACCCATGGTGCATTTCAGCTATTGAATACTTCCTGGTACTTGTATTGACTCTTGGAAATCTTAAATGCCATTGACTTGTTGGAACAAGTTCTTACTGAGACTCCAGTAGGTTAACAGCCTCCCCATTTTCCTTCATTAGTCTCATGGCTCCTTCTCTTTCCCCTTCACCTTCTCTTCTTCTTCTCCCCCACCAGTGGACTTGGAAGTCCTTTGGGGCTCTGCTCTTCTCCTCTCCACACATCCCTGAACAATTTTATCTACACCTTGGCTTTATAGTCACCTGCACACCACTGATTCCTGGAGAGCACCTCTGAGTTTTGTTTCTATTTTAGTGTTTTCTGCTCAGCTCTGCCATTCTTCTGCTAAGAGCACCTACTTCTCCTGGAGGCAAATCCCCCTATCCTTATTGTCAACAGAAGTGACTTGATGGGATTGACTTTGGGGGAAGTCATGTGATCTGGCCTTCATTCAACTGGGTCAGGACTTCTGTTCCTATTCTTGAACAGACAGAGTCTCTCTTTGCTGTGATGCTTGAACCTGAAAAGATGTATCTTTGAGCTGCTACAGTCATTTTGCCACCATGAGTTGTGGGGGTGCTTGGGGTGGTAGAACATCTTTGTGAATGGGGCTAGCAGAGTAGAATAGAGAAACTGAGCAGATAAAAGGATCCCAATGCCCCATGTGAGTCACTGTCTCTAGTCACACCTGTTCCTACACACTCCAACCTGGTAGCCACTAACTACATCTGGCTATAGAGCTACATCTGTCTATAGCTGTATTTTAATATAGCTATTCATAGAATACAAACATATCAAGTAAATTTAATATATTTTAAATACATTGAGCTGAGAAAATATCAAACCATATATACGGTTAATGTTATATTTCGTTTGTACTATGCTGCTCTGAAATTTTTTTATTAATTTTACTGGTATATTTTAGATATACATAATGATTGATGGGTTCCACCTTAATAAAAATTCTGCTAAGTCATCATGGTGGTGAGCCAATATGGCACAGCCCACTGGAGGCCATGTGGCAGTCTCCTCCTTCCTCCTCCCTAGTCATATTACAACTTTATACTTCCTTTTTAAAACATCCTGTTTCCCTCTTCCTGCCCCCTGTCCAATCACTGTCTGCCAGCTCACACAGACAGACCATCCCCTTAACCCCACCCACAGCCTGGCCCTACATAGCCTCCCCAGCCAGGCCCTAAGAACCTCTACATCCCTCCTTTCTGCTCTTGTCTTTTCTGTGCCTCCAATAAAGGCATTTTTACTTTGTTCTGTTTTTACTTGCACCAAAAAACCTAACAATGATAACATTCATCATATGGAATTTGTATCTATACATAATATATCTTGATTCTCTTTTTTACCTTTTCCTTCCCTCCCTTCAACTCCTCCTCCCCTCCTTATTTACAAAAGCTTTATTTCCATTTTACCTTCTATTCTATTTTTTTCCTTTTCCTTTCCTTCCTTTACCCCTCCCCTTGTCTTCTCACTTGAACATTTTCTTCCTATTCACAATATCTGCTACACATTTTGGTCTTTATTTACACTTTTGGTTTCTCACACTGGACACACATGATATTTGAATATGTGTGTCCAAAATTTATTTCACTTAAGAGTACAGTGCATTCAATTATCTAGAAATGTCTCAAGTTTATCTTTCTTTATGGCAGAGTAGTACTCCACTATATATTAAAAAAAAACACATCTTCTTTATCCATTCATCTATTAATGGGCATTGGGCTGCTTCTGAGATTTACTTATTATAGACTGTGCTGCTATAAACATGGGTGTGCATATGTCACCATGGATTGATGACTTTATTTCTTTCAGAAATATAACAAGAAGGGAAATAGCTGGGTTACATGGAACCTCTAGTTTTAGTTTTTTGAGGAATCTCCACACTGATTTCCATAGTGCTCAGAACTTTTATATTACATAACTGAAGATTTCTTTCCCCTTTTTTAAACCTGCAACCAAAAACATAGAAAACTTTGTATCCATAAACTTCCTCATAATATGATAAACAAATACATCTCATACAATCCTTTGTCATAAGTACCAGCCCCAAACTCAACAAGATACCTGATAGGAAAGATGTTTATTTCAAAACTAGGGAGGTATACTTTTAAACTTGTAAAAAAATTTCTATCTTTAACAGCATAAACATTAATTCATCACTGGAATTTATTTCTTTAGTGTCAGGAAAATAATTGAAAAAGATCCTTTTTACACAAAGTAAAGCAAATGTACATACATCACTTTTTGAATAGGATTGTCACCCAGTGGCCTAGATGTAAATGATTCAAACGGACATATCATCTATTTTGCTGATAAATGCAAACTCATGTAGTTTTTTTTAGCAAGAGTGTTTCTTTAAAAACAATTTTTTAGCTGAGTTTGATTTTTTTTGACTCTGTATATTATTCTTCATTCTTGGGATGGATGTGTGTATTCAGGCATGCACACATACATGTGGGTTCCATCTTAAAATCAGTCACTGGAGATCAGGAGCAGAAACCAGATGATGGGCGGCATGGTTGGGGAGGTTTGTTTTTACCTAATCTGAGAGTTTGGGTCTAAAAGGAACCAGATGGGAAATGCCAAAGTCTACCACGGACTTAAAAGCTACATGTGGTGTTATTTCAGGTGACATAATCTGGACCTTGGGAAATCTACTGTCAAATTGTGTGATTGCCCTGTCTGAGCTCTTAGGGCCAGACCACACACTGTGGGTGAGAGTAGTTTGCCCTTGAAGAAAATGGCTGTAAAACCAAGGCAGAGAAGCAATTCTCATCTCTTGAATAATAGAAGCAAATCTGCCCCCCGAGTAGGAGGAACTGGAAGGCACTGTCATTGAGGGCTGGCTGCTGTGAAGGGCACAGCATGCTGTAGAGTCCAAGAATAGTGAAAGTCAGGAGAAAACCATTATTAGAGGTGAGAGTAGAAGTGAGAGTAGTGGTAACATCTATGTTTTCTTCTGGGTTGAAATTTTCTTCTAGCATCCCCAAGATGCCTAGAAAAATTTTGTTAGATACCACTGTTACAGGAGTGCTCTGGAAGGCTAAAGAAAATATATATATACATCCTGAAATCAAGTAGAATAAAATAGTTCAGAGAAGTCAAATATGAGCTGTCAAGAGCTGACTTACTTGCTAAATCTGAAGAAGCTACCTGTCTAGAAAATTTAGATTCCAGTGTCTGGTAGAGATGATAAATGACCTTCAGAAGAGATTGGTATAATATGTAGACATGGTTTAGGAATTCCAAGAAATTGCTTGGCAAAGAGAACACAATAGAAAAATAAAATTCCAATGGCCTGTTGAGTGAGGATTCAGGCTTTATTTATTTAGCAGTACTAGGGATTGAACTCAGGGTCTTACACATGCAAGGCAAGTGCTCTACTACTGAGCTACGTTAGCTATGTATTGAGTAAGTTGATAGCCCTATGAGCTATATATGTAATGAGTTAACTCATGAGCAGTAGGGATAATACCACATGTGCCTCAACATTTCCTGATACCTGTGCAGAAGTAGAACCACATGTTTAATGCTATTGAGTAGGGTATGAGGGAAAATGAAGAAAGAACACAGGCACAATTTTGCAGGTTCTTTTCACCTGCTGCAGGGATCAGAAAGTTGACATATTCTATAAAATGATTAAGGATTAAGATTAAGGACAAGATTAAGGAGTTGTTGTCTATCTGGGTCCCTATGTATGGAGTAGAGCCTGCCACCAGCTTCTATTAAGCATGTAATATAAATCAAAACTACACTTTTGTGTCTATGAAGCCACTGAGATTTTTTTGCACAATTGCTTGTATCCAGGAAGACACTGTGTAATATGATTAGCATAAAGCCAGGTATGACCTACGCACTTGAGAAAAGTTCATTTTTTTTTTTTTTTTTGTCTTTTCTTCTGGTACCAGGAATTGAACTCACAACTTTACACTCATCGAGGCAGGCACTTTGCCACTGAGCTAAATCCCCAGCCCCGAGAAAAGTTCATTATTATTCAAGCCTGTGTCTTGGTCACCTCCTGAGCCATTCCTTGTTTTCTCAGTGTGTCACAAAAAGACAGGGCCCAGCAGGCTATTTCCAGCACTCCCAGGATTTGTAGTCCTGCAGCTAGGGTCAGGAAACAGGAGGCAAGTAGGAGAGAGGAAATGGAGAGGAAGCAGGCAACCAGAATGTTTCTCTTCCTCTTTGCACCTTGGACGGTATCTCCAGCAGAAAGTGCATCTTTAAGGTGCTAGGAGAAAAAAAATCTAGAATTCTATGCTCAACAAAAATATGCTTGAGAAATGAAGGCCACATGAATACATATTCAGACAAATAAAACTCACCAAATTTACCACCAGACCTATACTAAAAAAAGTACTCAGGGGACATCATCATGATCCCAGATGAAAGTGCAGGTACAGAGGAAGAAATAAACAAAAAGGGTAAAAATCTAGTTGAACTAGACAAACACTGACTGAACAATAAGAAAACTCTCCAGTGTGATTAAAAATGTGTAGAAGTTAAAGTCTTATAAATGGTTGCATTGTCTGAGTTGTTGGAAAAGTACTAACTTAAAAGAGATTCTAATAAGTCAGGATATATGCTATGATCTCCAGGTAATTGTTGAGATAATTATAAAATACATATAATTAACAAGAGAGTAAGAGGGAGCTGGAATAAAAGGTACTTGATTAAACTATAATACAGCAAGAAAGGAGAATAAAAGGAGCAAAGAAAAAAAGGGGCAAAAATGAGATGGTAAATTTACACCCAATATATCATTAATTTAAATTAAATGTGAATGGGTTCAATATCCCAATTAAAAATAAATATGCCAGACAAGAAAATTCAAGACTCAATTATACGCTGCTCTCCTGAGATACACCTAAAGTATAAAAGCATAGATAAGTTGAAAGTAAA